ATACCTCAGGCCCGTGTCAATTATTATTTTAATTTGTTAAAAATCCTTTGAAAATCAAGCTTCACCTTGGATCAATTCAAAATCGTTTTTATTACTACCAAAAAGCGATTGGCCATTTGAATTGCGTAGCCTTTTCGGATGCGGTCGATGGAACAATTGCACCTAAACATAGAATCCCATAACTGAATGAGAAGTCATTTGTAGGCCGGCAAAACTCCTACCATTCCATTCGTGCAAAGTCGATGTCTTTTGGGCTCCGAAAAACACATATGCACATTCAAACTATCGACTGCTACAGGTCCAGCTAGCTAAAAACGTTTCAGAATTGGTGGAATAACGGACAACTTAATGAGGGAAGTTAGAAACGGTAGCTCGAGCTTCTGGTGAACTCTTCGGTTCGTCGGACTACTGTCAAAATCCCCAAATTAGTTTTTGTTCACACTTTCAACTGTTTCTGAGATCATCAGACTGACCGCTTGTCCGAAGTTCAAATCAATCCATTTGTGAAGATGTCTCGACACCTGATCACTTTCCAACATGCTGCGATGCCACTTGATGAATTCTTCTGGTGATGAGACAAACCCCGGAAGTTCCAGATCGGGCATGTCAGAATGACTTGATACTAAAACAGGCCATTTTCCTTACCATATTCATGAGTTCGTCATTTTTAATGAAGGAAACCATCAAGAAAACCCGGAAACTGAAGGAAATTTGGAGGAAGCCTTACAGGGAAGGGCGAGAGTGAAGTCATCAGCAATTTTCGAAAAGCAAAGAACACTCGACTACTCTCTAGTCAAGCAAAAGGTCGTAATGATCAATCGGTACTTGCACTTGCAGGAACTTGCAGTCCCCGGATGCACTTCATGGTTGAGTTGCTAACAGAGCAGCTCGACAACCCAACCGAAGAAGAGGGTCCACCAGACTTACAAGTTCCGCTACCGGTTGACGAAGCGCTTGGTGGGATCACTCTACAAGTGCTCCATTGAGCGGTCCTTCAATCTGCTGAGGAATCTCTCAATCTGAGCGATATTTCTTCCAAATCCTTGAAAACTAGAACCGAATGGTAACGGTGCCCACCTAATATTGATGGATCATCATAGAATTCCGGAATGCACTCATCTGGGGTCCATTCGTACATTCGTGCCATACTCGCTGGATATTCTCGAGGAACCCACTGTAAACTGTCATTCTACTGAGCCCACATGTGCCACATTTTGACCAACCTTACTACGAACGTGTTTGCATAAGTTAATTTTCGATTCCACTCTTGCCTTATAGACCATGTAGCCGATATCGGACAGCACTTCCGGAATGTGATGGGAAAGATGCCGGAAATTTTGTCTGAAAGTTCCAAAATTCGTGAATAGTTCGTCTAACTCAAATCTGAAAATCTATACGAACCCCAACTGATCATCCCCTTTCGTAAGACGGTACTTCGTTTTGGATAAATCACGCCAACCACCCATCTGTTCTTTGAAGTCGCATACCCACGGGAATATGGGATGATTGTGAACTAAATATATAAATATGCCTTTTTATTACTAGTC